GAATGTTCACACAATTACAATTGTAATCTTTCAACGTGAATCCAATGATTGTTAAATATTATAGCAGCATAGCCGGCCACAATGGCAACACGACACCGCGAAATTATAATAATTACGTTTTGTTGATCGTACAACATCGATCGGTAGAGAACCTTTCTCAGTAACCTTCAACGGGGTCTACAAAAACATAAAAATACTGTATCCGAGCATTGCATACCCACCTGCACGAGTATCATATACATTTAATACAGTTGTATACATTATTGTGTAAGCATATATCATACTATTATACACTATCGAGTATTCTATTTTTGTCACGGTAAACTCGAACATGCCATAATTACGTAGGAATTTCGCGACATAATAACATCGGAATAATAATTGCGTAACGGTTTCCGAGTGGGATCGAAATGATAAAAAAATAATAATATAATAATAATAATAATAACAAGATCACGGAAAACTGTCGGTACGAATAGAATCTCGCGGAGGCCCACACCCGTAAAACCCGTGTCCCGTGTATTATTGTAATATGGGTAAGTCGTGAGTGCCTACATATTACTCACTTCATAAATCTATAATACTATAACGCACTGGTAGACTACCTAGTTCTTAGATTTATTTTCTCACTGTTTTGACGCCACGCGATTACTAATTAGGTACCACCACCGTGTACCGTGTGACTGGGTTAATATTACATTATTATACCTATAAACAATAATATGGGAATAGGAGTCAACTGTTCATCGGCAACATATTTTGGATTGTGATTGAATTTTAAGAATCTAAGGTGATCTATCATGATTCATGACACAGTAACCATCATAGTAGCTGGTACCTACCTACCGTTAGATCGGTAGTTGGCCGCCGTTACGATCACTGCAGTGCCTCTCTTGCATTTAGTCTAGGCATTTCCTATCCACGATTGTACCCATTATATTTGTACACCTTTGGTATAGCACAATACGTGCATTTAGCTGCACAGAGATGCAACCAGAAAGAAAACATATTATAATCGAATAGGTAGGTCGTAGTAATGTGCGTGACTACTCGTAAAATATTATTATTTTGACGTCGCGGGTGTACCCGCTTGTAGCTGCGGCGATGACCGGCATAAAAATAGTTACGATAGCGAGTTATTACGATACGATACGATAATAATATCGTTTCGCACTCAATATTATCGAAACGGCCCGGATTCGCGGTGTCTTACCGTGACGAGAATTGTGTTTTTTTTTCCGAACGCAATCACTGCCACTGTGTCAATATACCGACCGACGGTGGCGTGCACATAATATAATAAATATAGGTAATATGTAATATATTTGATATTATGTTATAACTTATAAACATTATATTATATTATTACCTAGGTACATTGTGTATTTGGAGCACTGTCTCGACGGTTTTCGCCCCCGGGGGTAATGAACCGCAGCGTACTATATCATTATAATATTACTATTATAGCTATTATTATTATTATTATAATAGTTGGTACCTATGTACATATTGCACGCGTACGACGCCCTACATATAATATCGATAGGTACGGCAAGTATACAAGCCCAATAAACATAATATTATTATATGCATAAACAATAAACGCAAAACGATACATTTTATAATTTTATTAACTTAGAACAATGTATAATATAGCAATTATTGGTATAATTTGGACAGTAAAACAGCGACCGAAAAGTATGCGAATTTATAACACGCGTACATAATACTATGGCCAGTAATGACCTACGGTAGTAGTCATCTATCATCTATGTAATACACCCAAGTACCCAACTCGGCCGAACTAAACTCATCGAAAATACATTTCGTTGACGAACATGACCATGGTAGCGGTGGCGGTAAATAGGCCGCGGTATGAGTAAGCTATACATTCAGGTATTAGCTCGTATCGCGTATGTATTACAATAATAAGGTACACATTTTTTCCATCCACGTTTTAAATAATCTATTTTAACGATTGCACATTTAAATATTATGTATACGTGATGTATACTGTATAATATTATATAAACATATATCATTGACATAATATTATGATCAATATTTTAGTTTCGTGACTATTGGGAAGTTAAAAAAAATCTATAATATTGTGTTTACTATTATGATGCTAATTTCAGTTGAGTATGTATTATGCGTTTTTATTTTACACTGTTGACAAAAGCGTCATGCAACTGAATAATTACTGATACGTGTTTGGCTAAAAAAAAATGTTTCATCGTCCCGAGAGGACACCAAAAAACTAGATAATCATTACCGCGGAGCACACAATACGTTGGCCTACCAACAATGAACCGTTTCTTTTTTTTAACTAGTGTCGGTATATTTAAAAATTAAAAACATGCGCTTTTCTCAGACATTGTAAAATAAAAAACTCACACGCGACCTGATGAAAAGGTATTATATTATAATACATTATACCAAAATCATTGAGATCCGAAATTAATAGCGATAGGTGGTCGTTAGCAGTGGGCAGTATTATAAGTAAGGATTTTCTTGGACAAAAAATATGCATCGACTGCACTCATTAAATTAACATTATAATATGTTTTTGCGAATTCTCGAAACTAATTTTTTTTTAACTATGCCTTCTACAATTCAGCCTGATAAGTACCCGTCATTATTTGATTTGATTAAATTATAAAATAATTAAAGGCAATTATCGAAAAATATTCCAATTAGCTATATTTGTTGTATTAACAGCCGCAAACAGCGGGACAACGGATAAAACAGACGTTCTACAAATAATTCACTTATCGGTTAAATGCACGATTAACGATATTTATTTTTCATTATATTAACGATTATTTTTGAGACGCGTATATTAAATGTTTTATTAATGAAATCATTTCTAATGTGTTTTTGACCGCGTGTGAACTAAAACAGCGACAGTATTATATTTGCCCACAAAGTAGGTTTAATATTCTTTATAACACTATTCCCATGTATACCTGGATTGCAACCTACTTTGTTTACGGAAACAATTTTAAGTTCGTTCCAAAAAATATCTTTACTTAACAACTTATCGCAATCGTCAAATAAAAACAATAATAATGTTTTCGTGTTGTAACGAATTCGAAGAATTCTATAAGTGTTTAAAATCAAAAATCTTGATGATATCTATACTTTTACGTTGCATATACATAAGGTCGTTGGCGTATACTTATTTGTTATATTATATTATATTGCACTATCTCGTACTATCTTCACTATTTATCTCTGAGTATGTGCTCCGAACCGATTGAACGTATTCAAGTCATCTCACATATATCTAGTACTCAGATACTCATATGAGTCGTATAACTGCATGTAGTATATTATATACGTTAAAAATCTCAATTTTCAACGTTCAAAATAAAAATGCATATTCGTATGCGATTCTGTTAAAACGATTATTTTATTATCGTATCACGAGAATTCCGAGGAACTTGAATGCCGAGGAAACAAATTCTTATGCACGCACGCGATACTTGAGAAACGAAGAAAGACGAAATTAGCGGCCAACATTTTTTATTGTTAGGTTCCTTGTAACGGGCGTGCATAATATAGGTAGTACCTATTAGGTACTATGATTCATTGCAAAAACCGTTTTGGTCCACACGTTCATTAAAAACAAAGTACGCTGATTACTCCTTGGCAGCAACCTTGAACTATAATTGCATTATGACAAAAAGTACGATGAACCCAATCCGCTGCAGATTTCGACTGAACACGTACATATTGGATTTACGGTGGATTGGGAGTCGTAATATTTGCTACGGGACTATGCCATATCTGCTGCGAAAATATTTTCTACATTTTTCAAGTGCCTATACATAGGTACGTTATATTTACGTTATTACCTATCTATTTATAAAACATTTGAAGCGATAAAAAAAATTGTAGCGCGTTTGAAGAATGAAGTCGAATGAAGTGGACATTGTCTTATTCGACGAGATTACGAAAAAATTATGTAAACCCATTCGTACACTAAATACATACTTACGAGTATATTAATTTAAAATTATATTTTATAAATAACATTTATCGCCGAGTGATTTACAATAACATAATGTAATGTTTAATAAATAATTGAAAAATAAACATTATACAATACTATAAAGTAAAAATAACCTCTTCAGTTATAGGTAAATTTATATTATGTAATATAATAAAGTATGTGATAAACTTGCACTCAATAACAATAAACTATTGTATTATATTAAAGGTAATGGAATAATTTAATTGGAGATCATTGCGGGACGACGGAATAGCGCCGCTAGCAATTTTTACTTAAAAGTCGAGTTCGTTTGACACAGGGATAGGTCGGTTGTGCGAAATAATAATATATTATAAGATCATTTTAACATACTAAAAAGTTTTCAAACGCCCATCATTTCATATTATTTGGAAGGATTATTTTTTCTCGACTATTTTTATTTTATTGTATGATATAAAATGTATTACGATTTTTGTCTCTGATACTCGCACGAAATTGAATAGAATAATTAGGCGGAAGGGATTATGTGAAAACGCGAGGCATAATTTATTAATCGTCTCGGGGTTCTCGTCTTTGCGCGTGCCGTCATAAACTCATAATCTAATAGTACGATAATATAAATAATAATATATATTAAACAACTACACCAACCCAGCCAGATCGCGAATTGTTGCAACAACGACAAGATGCTAATACTAAGTTGACAGTGTGTATTGGTTACTAACATCTCGCGTAAATTGTCTCGGGAGCGTGGAGATTTGAATGCTGGGGCTGCAGTCGCGACCTCGAGGGAACGGGGCGCGAATGAGCTGTGTCGCCGCGGAGCGGAGGCGCCGATCGTGACGGCATGAGGAATCGCGGGCAAACAATTTTTTTCAAACAATTTTACCGACGACAACGGTGCAAAGCGTCGTCGGCTTGACAAAATTGACAAAATTTAATAATAATTTTGGGTGCGACGGAAGCGCAAAATAAAAAAAAAAATATTTTAGCAGGTACTCACGTTGGCTTGTGTGCTGCTCGCGGTCTGTCTACGGCGTTCAGGACGGAGAGTTATCCATGTGGAGAACACGTAGTCGAAAAAAAAAATCGTAAAACGTCAAATGTTTGTTTTTCCACGACCCGCGAATGAAACTGCCGTCGTCGATAAATTAATATTTTAAAATAAAAAATGTTCGATGTCAATAATAGTTCGTATGTTGTTGTCGCGAAAAATAATAATATCGTTCGATAATAATATTATATTATATTATTTATAATAATACTATAAAAACCGTCGACCGGTGTGGCGAGAACAAGCGTGTTCGCGAGCGTCGTGAATGCGACCGCGGACGAACAACGAATACACACTGACGGACGGCACAGCGCGAAACGGAATGAAAAATAAACAATAATGAAAAAATAAATAGGTAACAGCGGTTTACGCCGTGTCGCGACAGTACTTGCTGGGCGGACGCGACGGAAGCGACTGCCGCCGGTTGCCGCGTCGCTGCCGCTGCGATTATATTATTATTATTATTATTACTATTACTATTGCTATTACCATATCACTATAATATTATTACTATTACTATTATTACCATTACTATTACTATTACTTCTACTATAATATATTATTATCGTTGTTGTGGTATGACGCCGCCTCCGCGCGTACAGTGCGATACACGTCGGTGGGGAGACCCGCGAGCCCTCCCGCCAAACTGCTTCGCGGCCCCCCACCGCCGCAGCGCACGATCGACGAAGGCGGCGGCGGCGGCGGCGGCCGGTCGACGCGTGTCCGCGGCAGTGCCCGAGCGGCCCGGCCCGGCGTCCGTCGGCGCGCAATTAATGATTGCTCCGGTAATAATTCGTTTGTGAAAATAATTGACGACTGTCATATGATGTTATTGTAAATTATTATTATGATTGTTATGGTGTGGACATTGCGAAACACAAACGGAACAATAATAATATAATGTGACGATGTCCCCGCAGATTATTGTTGGATTTTGAGAGTCCCCGACCGTGCAGACCGCGGACAGATTGAATTTAGTTTTCCATACATTGCATTTCGGTTTGACGGTCAACAGTATACATTATAATACGGGGAGTGTCTCGGCCCGTGCCCCCGCAACCGTTCGAAAAATTATAAAATATTATATAATAATACATTTTTTTTTTAATATCAAAATCTATTCGATGCATCGATATAAAAATACGAACAAATATTCAAAAAAGTTTTCCAAGCGTGTTCATACTCCACGAGGAAACTGACTCGTTCCATAATATAATTTCTCATAGTAGTCCAAACTTCAAAGTCGACCGATATCGGTCGTACGAGATTCGAAATTTGGTACAACATTGCAGTCGAAAACAAGCCGATGAGATCTCTGCACGGGATGAAATGTCGAGAGTAACGGCATATATATATAACTATCATGCACTTTGTCCTACTTGGGAACGCTGCTGACAATCTGATCATCAACTGCGATATTATTAGCTTAAAAAATAAACGATTTAGATTAGATTGATTTATGTATTCAGATTTTTTTTTTCAACAAGATATTGCAGGTACTTATATATTATACAAACATTTAAAAATATTCCGATTATTTCATATCGTGTTATAATTCTGGTATACATTTTACATTTATATTAAAAACATATGTTCTGGTTTCCTTAAAATTTGGGTGGCAGACGAAATATTATATTGATATCTAAATATTAAAATATATATTCAGTATCGATAGCGCTGGGTAATGGGTATATACTCAATACCGTTTGTATATAATACCTATTGTGTAAATGAGGTCAAAACCTTTGGGTCGTAACTCCATGGATAAAACTATTGGTGCTGATATACCTATAGGGAGCGGGAAGTGTAAAAGATTATCGATTTTATAATTTTGTTAAAATATTAGATATTATACCATCGCTGGTTCTTGATATAGGTAAGGTAAATTTCGCTGCGGTGATCAGAAGACGGAAACTCCTCATAACATTCGATATACATATTCATATTATATTATTTTGAATATTTGATCTAGTTATAGTGAGTATACTGTACGTTATAAATTTATAATATTATGCAGAGCATGACTCTAGTAGTTTTTGCACTTGAAATATTCCAAAATTCGTATTTTAGAACATATATAATATATGAGAACAAATCTATAGCATAAAGACGTTGCTCTCTCGCATTTGGTCTATTTTACGCGCTCCATACAGTTGTATAATGTGACGGCGCGTATATCCACGGGCAGCAGCTAATTTATATGTAGATAATAACCGTAATATAGTCCAGGCGCGTTAAAGACGCTAGTGAGCTAGATTCTGTTGGGCTTAAAATTAATTACAATACATACATTATAGCTGTGATGAATAATAATTCATAATAAACAGTTGCCACTTACAACACGTACCTATACTATTATAGTCTATAGTATTAGTACACCATAGTATACCTACAGTAGGTATATATTTTCTACACGTACTGCAATGTACCTATATTGTGCTATAAAATATAATATTATTATCATATTTAGGTTGTATCTCCTCTGCAATAACATACAATAGTTACAACTTATGAAATTTTATATTTTATTTTGGATTTAAGTACGTTAATACTTTATTATAGTTATTTAAGTCGTGTACTACGTAATATATTTTAAAAACATATCGAAATATCAACACGAATAACTAGTAAAATTTATATTTTGTATATTTGTTTAAACTTGTTGTTAAGCAATACGAGTAATAACGCTCAAAAGTAAAAGTCTAATACACGAAGATTTTTATAAATACAATACAAATTAAATATATAAATGCAACACTGTTTATATACAATTTGATATATTTAAAAAAATATCAATTCCTTTACTAATTATATAGGCACTTTTTATTTGATTATTAAAACTGGATACAAATGGATAAATTAAATCTTACAATTTTTTCAGTAGCTATAATGATATTATATGTTTGAGGGAAGTGCTTTACCGTGTCAAATGTCCTAATAAGTAATGAAAATAACAAAAATCATGCTTTATTATATATTTTCTATTAAAAAACATGCAAATCTAATATTTAAAATAATAATGATAATTTAAGTCTAAATTTGTTATGTACCTACCGTGTACTTAAAATATGTATACAACTGCATTAATGGTACATTTTTTAACATTCGTTTTCGAGCATCGATCCTATCAGTTTGTCCAATGTTTGTATCTTCTGCAATCATACGTCAGCCACATGCAGTTCATGACAAATTACGATTAATTACCTATACCGAAATCGCATAATATAATTCATCGTAACATAAAAATATTATCACATAATATTATCATCGCTGTCATAACGCATAACTATAACATATAGGTATATCAAATAAAACCAAACATTTTAAAGTTAATATTTAATAATTTACTACATGTGCTGCAGCTGTACTGCAGTAGAATTTTTTGACTAATCACCTATAATATATAATATATTATGGTATGCAAAAAAGTATAGTACCAGCTCGACTGATTATTATAAATTTCATGGCGGTCCAACTTCACGCTTCACGCCAACCAAACATTCGAAAACAATATTTTATATATTATTACCATTTACCACTACAATAATAATACGTGTCCTGTAAGTACATGTAGAATGTAACGGTGCTACCATATATACAGCTAGGTATTATGCAATACTGCTATAGGTGTGTTGTGTGTGGGAGTTGGCCTGAGATTACAACTTAACTTTTGATAATTCTTTTTTAATCTGTGAACCAGCCACTGGCGTATTGTAATACCATTTTACAAATACCTATATACTATAATACGCATAGAATGACCCGTTGTCCATAACCTTTTCATTAATTATTATTTTTGAAAATCTCGACTGCTGCAGCCGCATTAGTATTCTAATGAGCGTTTACGTTTATTGAATCGTATATTCGTATACGTTTTATATTTATTTTTTTGATTTAATTGTATACAGCACGTTATCGTATTATACCTATAAGTATATTATAATATAATATATTATAGATTTGAGCTGATAGCCAATTTATGTAAATATATTTTTAAATTCGACTCGTTAATTTCCGTTAAATATTCATGATACACCTAATGTTATGCATTCGTGTTAAATGCGAACATGCGGATTAAAATCCTAGGGCAGTAGGGTACACAACATTTTTCAATAGAGGAGAGGGGCTCCTTGAAAATTAATCATTACCCACAGTCGTCACTACTCACAAAATATTTTTTGAAAAATAAAGTATAGGTGTCTTCTTCGTTTTTGTACTGATATGAAAGATATAATAAACACAAAAACATATTTAAAAAAAACTTCTCATGATAATTATAAGAATAAAATAAAATAGTATTTTTATTTTGTTCAGTCTATAATGATTTCAGACGTTTAGGTGAGGTATTCGAAAATTGTTGTACAACTTCAACTTAATCTATCGATTGCTATTTTTTGATTTATGCTGTAGGCCATAGTTAATTCGTTAAGATGCATATGATTAATCATAAGTTAATCCTTACTATAGTTTACTGTACAGATTCAACTTGATAACATGTCTAGAACAAATAAAATAATAATGATATGGCAGTGGTAGGGGATCAGTCCGTTACCCATCTTCCATACGACTCCACTGTCCTAGGATGTGCATAGATTATTTTGTAACTTCACCATGGTTTGAACACGATGTGAATACAGTGGAGACTGGTGCGTTCGAGGGTTAACACGACCACCATATATATATTACCCACATTCAACTCGAAATATGTTGTGTCGAAATTGAAGGGAAACCGAGATATGGAGTTTTATTGATATTTTTTATGAAATTTCGATATTGAGTTTGAGATTACGAAAAATTCGAGATACAAAAGTAGTTCGACATAATAAAAATCTACTGTTGCCATATACCTATATAGGTTGCCGCCATTCTAACTAAATGCGTAAAGGTGTAGAGTTGTGTGCGTTATAACTTATATTCCGCGTATATGATCGCAGATATCGTAAAAATATTCTCATAAAAAAAAAAAAAACAATGTTAAACGTACCTATTATATTGTCTTATGACGTGCAGTAATAGGTTTTAATTGTCTCGTGCAGAAGAATTTTATTCGACCTAGAACAATAATAAAATTTCCGAAACGAGTCGGAATACGATAATCGGATAGTATAATATTATATTGTAAGACGCGAATATACCTACGCAATATATTATAGGATAATCATTATTCGACTGCAATATATTTTGCATTGTGCATTGTTTATTTCCTTAATTTTTTATTTCCTTTTATTGGGTAGGTGGCTCTTAGAATATAGTGCTGCGTGTAATACCTCGGTTTGTCGTAAATATTTTCTGCCGTCCGTCTCTTGGTGTAAAGGTAATAATAATAACACTAATAATAATAATAATAATAATAATATAAGTAATATCTGCCGTCATTATTGCGAGATTAGAAATATTAGTTTATACCTTAGGTACTC